CTGTTGAAAAAAAATCATGATTCTAGTTTTAACACGTTTTATCAATAAAATGGTTAAATCACGTCTTTCTACATGTTTATTTCAATGTTATGACACAATGAAATTCGATAGTGTTTTCATTCTCAATCTTTTTCAAAATTAAATGGGAAAATTTTGGTGATAATGATTGAGTTTTTGAGTATTTTGAATGTTGATATTGGCATTTGAATTCGAAGACAAGCAATAATGTTGAAAAAGTAGACCTAGACCAAGAACTCGAATAATATTAGTCCGACATTTTCCATATTGGTTGCTATTGGCACGTGCAACAAAAACAGCTTTCTTTCACGTTGGTTTAAACCTTTTCTTATTAGTAGGCATACAACATTTAGCTTCAGTTTTTATAAAAAGAGCTTTAAGCCTTACTAATTGTAACTTAAAAAGTTTCTAAATTTTCTGTTGCATCAGACTTTGTTTGTAAAACTCTTACCTTTTGATAGCAAAAATTTCTGAGGAAAATTGTCTTGTTTTACAATTGACTACGCTTTCGTTTATGTGAAGTGACAACACTCGACATAATCCAACAACCTAAAGATAAGTTTATTTCTTCTGTTTAGAAACACATTTGAAAGCTAACCAAATCACTAACCATATCACAAAAATTCTGTAAGTTCGAAGGATAGATCTCAAAACGTGCACAAAGTTACGGCCCATCTTTAAAAATAATGCACGTATCTTAATCCAATTAAAGCAAATTAATGTAAACGTACACACTTGAGGCATGGGTTCCATACAGCCCCACCTTAGTCCTTCACCTTTGAATGGAGGAGTTACACTTTAGACCCAAAATCTGCGTTGATAAGTTTTTTTAATCTAAAATAGATGTTGTACCTGCAGATGTGTGTAGAAATCATCGATTACGAGTTATATCCCAAAACGTATTTGTATTTCAACGGCAATAATTTTTCTTTAAATATAAAAAAAGGAAGAAACCGATAATGTCAATCATAATACACTGTGTTATGTGTAAAAATATGTACTGTATGCTATTTGATGTGTGATATTTGTTAACTCTAATCTGAAAGCAAACTAGCATAAAAAAATTACCTAAAAAAATACAAAAACCCATAAACTCAAAAATTTCAACAGAAAAAATAAGACGTAGTGTGCTGTTATTTATATTCTCATAAAATCATGTGTTATTTGTCATTAATATTCATGATAAATTGTTTAACTATTCTAGTTTTATTGAATGATTATGTTAATTCCTATGATGATAAACGGGCAGCAATGTCACAATCATCATTCAGTAAACAAGAACAATTACAATCATGTACGTGTCGAAATCATTTAAATCAAACAGTTGACTGGTTTATTATTTACAAATTACCACGTTTAAATACATCAGAAAATTTAAATATAAAAAATGGTACTGGTTATATGTATTTAGATAGTTCATCACAAATAAGTGAATGGCATTTATCACCACATAGTATAAAAACAAATTTATCTATGGCTGCTATAACGTTAAATTCATTATATGAAAATACAGCATCATCATATATTTATTATAGTGATCAACCACCAAATCAGAATTTTTCATTAACATTTGGACATACTAAAGGTGTTTTAGCATTTGATTATACTGCACTGAATCAGTAGAAAAGGATTAAATAAAAGCTGACTGTGATCTGCAAAAGTTGAATGGGGTAGGTGGCAGATAGGTGTCTCATGAAATTTTCAGAGAGAAATCACGGTTTTTTCTAAAGCGGACAATATTGATACTCGAGCATTTTCCGACACTTTCGTGTTGAAAAACTAGCTATGTGTCTTTGTAATAATCATTGTCAGAAACTCGCATAGGCTCTTCAATGACATTTCAGAATTTGATAGTAATTATTTGAGCATTTAGCCCACCTTTATCGAAGAATCATCTCGAAGTTTTTGAGCTTTTATATTCATTTCACCAAAACAGCATACACTTCGTTGTTTTTCTTAATAACTTTTGACAGAAATGAGACCTGTGGTACGTAACACATTTTGGGACACTTTGGGACGTAATCCTATAAAAAAATCAGGGCTTTCGATCAGATTTATCATGGTGTACCATTTGAGGCAAAATGCGAAAGCGTACCGTTCCTACACCACCCTATGAAAATCCAATCTCGGAGAATATCAGTCGATAACCAAAATATTTCTCTTCAAAACAACGCAAAGCCTACGTCTCCATCTCCTTTGATTCCGGAGATACAGACGTTTTCTGAGGACACGTCTGTCTCGTTCCAGATATATCTGATAATCTCAGAAATATGTGGATCGTAGGCCGCGGCCGCGTTCCTTTTCGTCCCTGCTTTTTCTTACGGATATCCGACAGAGCAGTCCGTTCCGAGCTCCCGTTTTTTTGAAAAAGTGCGGATGTTCCGAATGAAAAGTTCGGAAGATCGGAATGAAAAAAGATCGGATGTTCGGAACGGTAACCAAAAAAACTCCGAATGTTGGGAATGAAAGTCTTTTGGGTGTACGGAATGGCATGAGTCAAGGCTTTTTTTTTAACCATAAACTTATTCGATATATATGTATATATTTCAGATAAATTTGTGACTGCAACGACCACTACCTCTCTGACACTGCCTGAACTTCTCAGATAATACTTCTTATACGATAAATAGTTTTTAGTATGTCTAATGTTGTATGGAGAATCGAATGAATATGTCTTCGAGAAAAAGTAATTTTGATCATTTTATGACAATGCCCGATATGCGCTACAAATTGTTTCTTAATGTCTGCTTATAGCAGAGAAAACTTGTTGCCATTCACTTATTTGTGATGAACTATCTAAATACATATAACCAGTACCATTTTTTATATTTAAAT